AGAGACAACGCCTTGGCTTCCCACCAGCGACGTTGCAGCCTTCATCTCTGCCGACATGTAGGAACCCTAAAGGAGTTAAACCAGAAGCGCGTGGAAGAGCCAGGATTAGCGGGAGGCTGGGTCCTGCAGATGGTCCCGGCGCTGAGGAAGGGCACCAAGTGCCCTTAAAACAGCTCAGGGTGATGGAGCTGCCTGCGCAGCGCTTCGGGCTTTTCAAGGGGCAAAAGCTGGAGCCCCATAAAGACTCCAAACACACCCATGGCCTAAGGGGGACCTCAGCCCCCCAGAGCCTGTAATGGGGTTAGGGTTCCTTCCCCTGCAGAAGACCCCGGTACCTGCTGGCACGGCCATGGCTCCTGCCCAGGGGAGACAGTCTGTTTGCAATAAAGCACAGAAAACTGCCGCTCCGAAAAGCGCAGGGGGGCGGGAGGAGAGGAACAGCAACCCCTCAGTGAAGCTGGCCCCGTGTCCACCACGTCTGTGAGGACTTATAGCCAGGAGGCTGGATCCGCTGGGTAGCCACCGGTGCGTGGCGGCATGGGGAGGGGGGATGCCGCGGGGCTGCCCGGCAGGAACGCACGGCTCGCTGGGTGGGCAGGGGAGGGCGGGGAGAGCCCGGTTCATGAATTTCTCCTTCAGACCCCAATATGACCTTCCCGGTCCTATTTCCAGGTTCAAAAAAGTCACACACGTTGTCTCCTACCTGCAGGTCCTTGCGAGGGGGCCGGTTTCCCTGCCCGTGGCTCCCAGCAAAGATAGGCAGAGGATGTCTGGCAGCTGCCCGCTCCTGGGGAGTTGGGGAGCAGAGGGGATCCTCTTCTGCCGCCTGGACCTTCTTCTCCTGCCACCCGGACCTTCTCCTGCTGCTGCCTGGAAGGCCACGGCTTTATATGCGCTCCCTTCGTCGCACGGCCGGGTGCTTATCTCTGGGGGGGGGGCATGGCACGAAATCCCTGGGGAATAGCTACCCATTAACAAACGGGGCTGAGCCTGGCTGGAGCCAGCCAAGAAGCCAGGGGAGATCTTTCCTCAGCTCCAACAAGCTCTGGGGGGGACGAATGGTGACTTCTGCTCCTGCCCAGGGCACGTACCTCCCCTAGAGCCCAGGATGGGGGGGCAGAGGGGGGTCCCCAAGCCCTGCCCCGGGGAGGATGGAGGACACGCTCTCGGCATTGCTGCTCTGTGGGTGCCAGCGTTTCCTCCAGAGACCTTTCCTGGGCTGACCGGACTGCTCCCAGCACAGAGAGAGGGCTGTCAGACCTCCACGCGTGGAGGTAGCCAGTAGCGAGGGGATGTCTTTGCAGCAAGCTCTCCGCGGCCACAGCCCTCTCCATCCCCAGGGAATGATCCGGCAGGTCCCCGTGCCCCGGGAATGGTGGTGGCAGGACCTCCTGGCCCAGCGGCAGAGCCAGGCTCAGGTTAACGATTGCCCAGGTTCGCGTGAGAAGGCGGCTGGCTCGCTTCCCCCGGC